AAAAAAAAAAAAAAAAAGAGGAGCTAGAAAAAAACTACAAAAAACAAGAGTTTGAGAATAATAAGTGCATAGAGGTGAGAAGGGAGACTGGGATGGTGGAAGGAAGAAAGAGGAATAGGATGGACATAAATAGGATGACCAGTAGCAAGGCTGTCTTTGCTAGAAGCTTGCACACATATCAGCCTTCCAAATACAAAGGTTCTATTAGTAAAATTTCAAACATTTTAGCATGTTTTACTTGATGTGCAAGCTAATGTGCACTGAGCGCAAATGCTTCAGTAGACTAAGATCTCCTAATATTTTGATAAAACAGATAGCTTCAATGGTGAGAATCCACAAACTACTAAGCTAGATAGTATTCCCCAAGATAGCGAGATTTTTCTAGAGGATTCCCCTAGGGTTGAAAAAAATAAGATTATTACTCCTGAATCTTCTTTTTTGGGATCTATTTTTGATAAATTTTATAGATGACGAATCTTCAGGAGTGCTAGCAGAATGATAGTGAATTTTTAGACATTTTCTTCCTTTAATTTTTTTTTCATGGAGGCATCAGTCTCTAAGTTTATTTTCCCTTCCTCCAGGGCCATTTGATAGTGAATTTTTAGACAAGCAGACCAAGTATCGCGGCTCGATTTCACCGCGTGGAACTTGAATGTCTCAGTTTTCAGCTACCATATGGCAGTTGATCATGAGACACAATTTGTATGGTGTTCATTAAGTTTTTTCCAATGATCAGAGTATATTTTTAAGCACGAGTTAAACTTAAGGTATAGATAAGGCTTGAGTTGAAGAAGGATTACGATTTACAAAATTAGGATGCGTTTGGGATAGCAGTGTCGCGCTAATACAGTGTCACCTCGATACGGTGTCGCGTCGTTGTGATGTCGCACCGTACTTTATGAAGTTTTACAAAACTGCATTTTGTCTGCATTTTCAAAAATTATGGTGGGAAGTTGTGCTTTGCAACCTGACCTAGTTAAGCGCCGTGGCCGCCAGAAAGTTGTGGTTTGATATTTTGAAAATAAAAAAAAATTGTAATAACCGTCGCAGATTTTTGAACAATGGTTTCTTCTGCATATGTTTCACATATGCTTCTTCAAACAACTAAAACTGCCCCAAATAAGTCCTTAGTATCATCCAGGTAAGGCTAATGTGGTTGGAGATGTTTTGAGCGGAAAATCTTCCACATATGCAGTTTTGATGATCACTCGGGAATACCAATTACATTGGAGAACAACTTTAACCTGAGATAATACATTCATGAGTTGATTCGATCATCAATCACTAGTCAATTCAACCAACAATAATGAATTAGATTCATGCAACTCAAAGAACAGATATATGTCTGCTACAACTTCAGGAACGGGTTAATAATGGATTTAGACCCAAATTCACCATTGAATTAATAAACACGTTAAGATTTAAGGATCGGCTACGTCGCACGGCCCAAGAAAGACTCAACCTGAGATAATTTGAGAAGCATGCTATACTCCATGTTCTATGCATCAAAGTTGTATCAAGATGTATCAAGTTCAAAAGAAGTTGTTCTGGTAGCCAAGCATGAAAAATAATGTAGCGAATATTATAGTCAAGTGTTTGCTTGCTAGATAGTCAAAGCAAAAAAATCAAAGACTTGGTGTTTTATCGCAGCCTTATCTCATTCCAGAATGAAAATGGGAGGAAAGCGCAATGTATTTAATATGTGGCTTGACTAGTAAAAACAAAGTCATGAAACAATTTGGGTTGTGGTTAATAGACTCATTGAGTTCGACCATATCCTATCAATCAAGTAGAACTATTCAGTAGAGAGTCAAGTTAAGATTTATATAGATATTATTGTTTGATCGTGTACATGGAATCCCAATAGTCATCATGATTGATCAATACAGAAGATGTACTTCCGAAGTATGAAGACAGGTGCGGGAAACTTAGAGCACTAAGTTGAACTTTAGTCTATTTTTCATCCTCAGGTGCATGGTCACTCAGAGCAGACCATTTAGATGTTAGAAGAAGTACTGAGAACATGCATTTTAGACTTTGGATATAGTTGTGAAGGCTACCATTAGTGGAGTTTCCTCATAAATCAATCAAGCATCGGGATGGTATTATATAAGGCTCTTTATGGAAGGAAGTGCAGGCCCAACCTATGTTGGTTCGAGATTAGTGAGAGGGTTATGCATGTCACAAACAATAGATGAAACTACTATGAAGGTTTGTCAAATTCGAAACTAGTTACATGTAGCTCAAAATTATAAAAAAGAATATTTGATCCTAAGTATAGAGAGATTGCACTTAAGGTAGGAGATCATGTCTCCCTCAATGTCTCACCTATGCATGGAGTCAAAAGATTTGGTCAAAGTGAAAAAACTGAACGTCACTTCAGCATCCATTTGAGGTAATCGAAAGAGTTGGCAGAGTATCATATAGATTAGTTCTTCCACCAAGACTTGCAAGAGTGGACAATGTTTTTCACGTCTCCCTACTTTTCCACCCTCACTAAGATATAAATTTGGGGATCAAATTCTTCTAAGAAACTTGTATGTAACCAAGAACAGTCGCAACCAATATTGTGTGAATCATGTGATCCTTTCTTCTCTTTCTTAACTCCTTCTCGATCAAGCTTTCTCGGGCTTGGCACCAACCGACTGCACAACTTTCTCCTTTTAATCATTCAAATCATGTGATCCCTTCCCGCTCAATCTCATTGACCACACTCCCATTATAAGAATTGAGGCTAGGGCATCATACTTTGTCGTGCCCCCTCTAGCCATCGAAACCCTCCTTGTTCCCTTCCATCCTCGGCTTCTCTACATCCGATAGAAAATTAAGGCTCCCCATGACCTTCCATCAATCTCACGTGAGGCGCAAGCCCTAACGCAACTGATGCATTCATTTTTCTTTTGTAAGACAACTGGTAACTCTCCTCTTCATCCCATTCTCCTCCTCAAAAATCTCAACTCATCTACCACTTGTGTATTGCTTCTCAAATACTCATCTCCTTATCACAGCACTCTTGGAGCTAGTGTTCTCCCCTTAATTAGAACCCACTTGGTTAAATGTGTGGATAACTTCTTCATTCCCTTCTTGAATTTAATTTCAAAAATTTACTAATTTATAAACTTTAATATATATATACCCCTCATTGTAAATATACCCCTCATTGTAAGTGGCTATAATTTGTTTAGATGTGGCATCTTTACATTTTTCTTATGGAATTTCAACAAAATCAATCAACAAAGAGGAAATTTGTTGAGGAACAATATTGCAGCGAAAAACTGGAAGACAATGACCATTTTAAGAAAAAAAAAAAAAGATTTAAAAATATTAAATTATTCATTAAGTTACCCGCAAATATAACAAGACCATCTGCAGAAACCCTTGCCAAGTCAGGCAGAGTTTTGTTTAGGTATTTCGGAGACTGATAATCCAGAGAATCTGATACGATCACAACAGAAAATGATTTCTTCCGGTAGGGTAGAGGAAACTTGATATCAGCCACACGAACAATGCCCTTCCTAACTAAGTTTCTACAGCTATTATCAGCATCCTTCAAATCGTATGGTTCAATGCCCCACGCTTCACTTTCTTCTTCTTTTAACAACCAGGAAACAACTAAACAAGTTTCAGGGCCCACATGCAGAACCTTGCGCATGCCCTCACCGTACACCTTCTTCAGTATAGGTATTGCTCTTTGAACTTCTGCAGTGCAAGAAATCCCTATATATATATATAATATATATATAAGCAGAAAGAAACAAGTTAATTAATCAGATAGAAAAAGGTTTATAGGTTATAAATTTAACATTAATTCATTGTTTTTATTATGTGAATCAAGATATTGTTTAAGGATACATTCATTTGTTTTGATTTTAACCGAACTTCCAAAATCTCAAAACTAAAATAAACAAAATTAATAGGTTTATGGAAACAAAAATTCCAAATCAAACAGAACTCAAACCAACCACATTAAATTGAAAAAATTAAAGTCTTTTCCAATTTGGTTCCGTTTTTAGAATTAGTGTTGCAGAACAACACAAAATTATATTAGAGGAATTTACATATCTAGCATATGATTCTTATCTATTTACATATCTTACACAAACTTTCATATTTACATACATGGCACTTCAGTGTTTTAAATTTATGCATAAAAAGATGTATTTCAATTTTAAAGTGGCAATAATGCTATTTTTTATGTGATATTAAAGATTTGTACGATATGCGTGTATATGATCTGTAAATATGCATATAAATGCCCCATTATATTATTGCATTATTGGTATCACAACGATGAACAACATAAACACTTGGATTTAATAAATACAACCGAGAGTATGCCAACCATACCTCGGTAATGTGTAATACATGTGCTCATTCTATGCGTGAGGACATCTAAATGGTGAGATATAGCAAGTCAATCATGCACAAGGTATTCTGTGTGAGGGTGTGTAACGTTGCTGGTCAACTGTGCGAGTGTATGTGTTCAAAAGGACGACAGTCGGAGCTAAGAGGCAGTTAATTGAAAGGATTTATGGTGTACCGTAAATTATTTATAGGGATTTGAGGAAATTATGTGTTTGGTATGAAGAAGTACAAATATAATGTATGGTTTCAATGAATTTAAAGTTCACTCTTTAGTTTATTTTGTCTAAATTTAGAATTCGGTCGATTTGACTGAATTTGAATTATATTGTAAAATGTTATCGGCAAACTGTCACCCATCACCACCCCCCCTCCCCTCCCCCCGCCGCCCTTTGACGCAACCGTCACCGCCCGCCGATGAATTGTCGCCGCTACCTGCTGCCTCCCAAATAAAGTCTTATATTATTTTCGATCCACTTCAAATGAAGAAAAAAAAATAAAATCCCGCGTTTATTTTACAGTGATCCAAACAACCATAAAATAATTCAAAGATATTATAATAACAGTACTCTGCAAATATTTTACATTGTATTTCATTTTCAGCAAACCAAACAACCCCTAAATCATTTCACATCCTAGTTGACCGTGCAGAGGTGTGCAAGGCAAATGACCTGCTACGAAACACATATGCTTATGAGTCTAATTAGTAGTAAATAGTAGTATTACACCACTGCCTATGATATTATGTGTCGTCTAATGGCCTGGTGTATGAAAGAATATGTTCATGAGAATAAGTTTGATGTGTGTTGTCCGCCTGAACTGGTTGAACAGGTTTTGGGTTAGATTAGGAGGGTCGACTATGTTGGATGGAGCCCGGTTCACGACCCCAGCTCTCGCTCCCGCCTTCCCGCTTCCGCTCCTTTCCCGTTTCGCGAATCGGCGCCAACCTTGTCACGTCTCTAGCTCCTCTGTCGCGAAATATCGCAAACTATTCTCGCCTTCCCTGTTTCCGCAAAGCGAAGCATCTCTTCGCTTGTTTTAAGTCGCGAATAGAAGAGGAAGAAAGTATAGCGAGGTATCGCAGGGCTCTCCTTGAGATTTTGCACGGCCCTTTTTTGTGTTCTTCTTCAGGCTTCCTCGGGATAGAGGAAGAGAAGTGCAAGCAGTAGTTCCGTGCAGCAGAAGGAAGAAAGAAAAAGAAGAAGATTGTTCTTTTTCCCTTGACTTCTTCTAGGTGGCTTATGGTAGAAGAGAAATTGAGTTTATTTCTCTCATAAGTTTATCTTTTTCGGTGTATCTCGGTGTAGAGAGAGAAGAAGAGAGAGCAAGGAAGTGAGAGATCCCTCTTGTAAGTCGAGACGATCGACTGGTATATATTCCTCAAATACGTGGAATAGTCAATTTGCCGAACCACGTAAATTTGTGTGTCCCGCTCTGTCTTACTGTTTTCTGGTGTGAATTTGCTCGTTATATTTTTCGCTTCGTCAAAGATCGTTTTTCTATGTTATATATATATATATATATATATATATATATATATATATATATTACAACAACTGATATCAAAGCCGTGTTTCAAATCTGAGGAAGAATCATGGTTGTAGAAGAAGTGAAAGTTTCAGGGATCGAGAAATTTGATGGCACGGATTTTGATTATTAGAGGATGCAGTTAGAGGACTACCTTTATGGGAAAAAACTTAATCTTCCGTTATTGGGAAAAAAACAAGAAAGAATGGATGAGGCTAAATGGAATTTGTTAGATCGACGGGTTCTGGGAGTTATTCGATTGACCCTATCGAAGTTCATTGCACACAACGTCGTCAAGGAGAGGACGACTGTAGATCTCATGATAGTTATCAAAAATGTATGAAAAGTCATCGGTGAATAACAAAATGTACTTGATGAAGAAGTTATTCAATTTGAAGATAGTGGAAGGTATTTTTGTTGCTCAACACCTGAATGATTTCAATACTATCACAAATCAATTGTCGTTTGTTGAAATTGATTTTGATGATGAGATACGTGCGCTGATATTGTTGGCATCATTGTCAAATAATTGGGAAGTCATGAGGATGAAAGTTAGCGGTTTTGCAGTTAAATCTAAATTAAAATATGATATTCGTGATTTAATTTTGGCTGAGAAGGTGCGAAGAAAAGATTCTGGCGAGATCTCAGGTTTGAGTTCGGCACTGAATGTTGATTTCAGAGGGAGATCACTTGAGAGGAACTCGGACACGAACTCAAATAGAGGGAGGTCAAAATCAAAGTCTGGTCAGCAGGCAACCTGCTGGAATTGTGGCAATGTTGACCACATAAAGAGAAACTCTAGGAATCACCATAATATAGAGAATAATGGCGCAAATGTAGCATCTGAAGAAATACAGAATGCACTATTATTGGCAGTTCATAGTTCTGTTGATGATGGAAGTGAATAGGAGAGTTGGTCTGGGGCACCTATTCCTATTATTCCTAGACAGATGGTGGAGAACCACAGAACTATGAAGAAATCATGCAAGATGAAAGTTTGAGCAAGTGGGAGCTAGCAGAACTTTCATCAGGAAAGAATGCATGACACAGCAAGTGGGTGTACCATGTGAAGACTGAATTTGATGACAGTAAATGATACAAGGTTAAACTTATTGAAAAAGACTTTCAAGAGAGACATGATATTGCCCATGCAGTGAGAGTTGCAAGCAGAGAAAAGAGTAATCTAAGAAATAACTTGAAGGTGCAAGGCTATGAGGACCCTGCTGATATGTTGACTAAGAGTGTTACTCTTGAGAAACTGAAGTTGTGCACGGCTTCAGTTGGCCTTCTGATATAAAGACAGGGCTTTGAGGTGCAGAGGTGGAGGATTAATGTTTGAAGAAAAATGCGAAGCCGCCAGTGGAGGATATCAGTTTGACGAAGGAGATGTTGCCGCTTGTGTACAGGTCTCCAAGTGGGATAATTGTTGGATGGAGCCCAGTTCGCGACCCCAGATCTCGCTCTCGCCTTCTTGCTTCCCCTCCTTTCTCATTTCGTGAATCAACGCCAACCTTGTCGCTTCTCCCGCTCCTCTGTCGAGAAATATCGCGAACTGTTCCCGCCTTCCCTGTTTCCTCAAAGCGAAGCATCTCTTCGCTTGTTTTAAGTCGCGAACAGAAGAGGAAGAAAGTATTGCGAGGTATCGCAGGGCTCTCCTTGAGATTTTGCACGGCCCTTTTTTATGTTCTTCTTCGGGCTTCTCGGGATAGATGAAGAGAAGTGCAAACAACGGTTCCTTGGGCAGAATGAAAAAGAAATAAGAAGAAGATTGTTCTCCCTTAGCTTCTTCTTAGTGACTTGTGGCAAGAGAAATAGGTTTTATTTCTCTTGTAAGTTTATCTTGTTTGGTATATCTCGGTGTAGAGAGAGAAGAAGAGAGAGCAACGAAGTGAGAGATCCCTCTTGTAAGTCGAGACGATCGACTGGTGTAAATTCCTCAAGTAGTAAAATCATCTGCAACTTCGTATACATAGGCAAATTGTCGAACCATGTAAATCTGTATTTCACTGTCTTACTGTTTTCAGGTGTGAATTTTCTTGTTCTATTTTTCGCTTCGTCGGAGATCTTTCTTCTATTATATATATATAGTCCTCCTAGGGTATATCACAACAGACTAGTCCTCCTAGGGCTTGGGGTTGCCGCCCAAGTGGGTGGCGTCCCCCTTCTTTTACCTAGTTTATTTACATGTTGTTTCTAAGTGTTTTAGGATAATTCTTATTTTCAAATTTCTGTCTAGCTTAGCGGCTGCTTTCCCATTCTAGGGCTATATCCAAAGACAAGAGATGCTTTAGTTGTAACTTGACCTATGGTAGTGTGTATCCTTCGCCCCCCCCACCCCCTCGCTTTCACTCGCAGCCTACCTGGTCCCTACTGCCCTCCAAATAGCCGCCCTCTCCCCTCCCAACTACCCGCCAACCACACCTTACTTTCCCAAAACTATAGCCACCTTCGTCATACCCCCTCAACTCCTTAATTCTAGCCCAAATTAGGTGTTTGTGTTGTGTTTTCTCTCTTCATCTCTTGCTTTCCATAAGTATCTTTTGCAAACCCTACTAGATCTTAGTAATAAAGTCTTGTTTCGTTGTCGTTTGATTAACTGCGGCATCATTTGATATTATAACTAGTCTAACCCTAGTTCTATCCTAGTGCTCTAGCATCCAACTTACCTTCACACCCCCAAAATTCTTTTTGTTCCCCATTCCAATACTCTTCCACTCCCACCAATCCAAACACTAACCATGCCACCAAGGAGACGCATGTTGAAACTTACCCTGGAAGAGATACAGTGAGAGATTCGTTGACTTCAACAAGTGCTTGTGGAGATTAAT